ACTGAGTTCATAATTTGTTGCTTATGTGACTGATAGGTTTAAAACCCATTATTTTTCATTTGATATCTTACAATAATTGTCCATCTTTTTATTATTTTATTAATCTTGTTTTCCTATTCTGTTGGTTTGAAATAGTAATATTTTGTTTAATAAGAAAGTAAACAAACTCATTTTAAATCATATGGACACACATGCATTAGTTAAGTCTATCTATCTGTTTGATTTATATGTTTTCCTACAAAAGTACGGGAAAACGGTGACTCCTCGGAAGCATTAATGACAACAAAGTTACATGAAAAATGTAGACTCGGTTGGATTGAGTCTGTACATTAGGGATAATAAAAAAGTGCAACATCTCTTACGCCCCAACACCTAGCACCGGCTTTAGCGGTACTCAATTTTGAACGCTTCGATAGTGTCGGAATAAATGATCCGGGAGGACCAGAAAATATAAAGCACTGAAAATCCTTTTCTTACGTTAAATTTATGCTTGTTGTTTCTGATTTGTTTTTATTCTATTTTAAATAAACTGTAAGTATTTGCATGTAGAATTTTATTTTACTTTAGAAGTGACTGAATAAGAAAAAAATAGAAAAAAATGGAAACGCTAAAGAATCTTCAAAATGGAAATTGTTTGATTAGGCCTGTTCATAAATTGTTTTAGTATTTGCAAGCTACCATAGTGGACTAATCAGAATGCATTTTCTAACATAAAACGGTGAAATACATCCGCAGTTTTGTTCATAGTGCGGTCATCATGGATCCTTCAAAGTGACAATGTCATAGGGGGAATACAGGGACATTAAACATATAATTTATTATTTCTTCCTAGTACTATGACAACAACGACAACAATAACCAAACAAAACAAAATATCAGTGTGTGTCTCGTTGGACAAATGTTTATTTATTTTAACAGAAATAAAATTCACAAATATCAAAATAATAGCAATTTTGCAAAATGTCTTCGTTATCATATACCAGTAGCTTATTAAAACAATTAGAGGCAATGCATTGATTATTGTCCAGAGCAGAATTCCAAAGTCAATGGAATACGTAAGCTTATAGTAACATTATATTATTTATAGTGTTAATTGAATAGTTATAATCATATTTAGAAATGGTTTATATTTTATTTTACAAGTCATTCATTCCTATTCAGTTAAAGCAGATGTATTTTATCATAATTTCATGACAGACTTGCTTTAAATCACACCACATTAGCCTGTCATGATTTTATATGATGGACTATATCTAATGTATAAGAAATGTGTCGTAAATTAAACGTTTACCATTATCGTTGTCATGTTATACCGTTAACATGTCCAAGTTCCGGTGATGCATTTCATAACATTTTGGGAGATAAGATGTTTTATTTCAGTTAACCAAAATGATCAGTTATTTTTTTCATTTACGCCCTGAGATAATGTCAAAAGAAGTCTTTGTTTAGGTATAAAGATGACACAATTGACAATAACATATTTGAATTTTATTTCAACTTGTGTCAAAATATTTTTCATTTCATTTCAATGAATTAATTGTAATAAAACACTTAATATGCAGAAAAATTGAAATGTTTGTTTGCTGCGTTGAATGAATACTTAACTTGTTGATCCTTCATAAAACCACCAGCATGTTGTCGTTTAAATGTTACGACTTCTTTTTACAAATAGCGGCGTTTGCTATAATACTTTGCTAATAATAAATCAACAAGGCAGTTTTAGTGAGGACTTGAAAAGGATTTGAATATCAGCAATACTGACTTGTAAAAAATAAATGAAAATTATTATTATGTAGCAAGATTGTGTAAATTTTATATGAGAACAGCATAATTTTGAAAATATTATGTGAGACAGGTCTTTCTTAGAGGCTGTGTTCTTTGTAAGGATAATATCTAAAAGTAACCTCATGAAATGAGAGGAGGAATACGTTAATTAATTAAATTGAACTTATCATACTCAGAGGATATTTTGACAAAATACAGCTATTAAGCAATCAATTTCAATCAGTGCGCAATTGCAATAGGTATTATTTGAAAGGATACACTTTAAGATTATGCAAGGAATAATTGTATTGCTTTGATTTTGTTCGCTTAATATGCATAATAATGTCGCAACATATAATAAATCTGAAAATAAGTATTTAAACGACTTACAACGATCTGGGTTTCTTTATGAACTGCTGAACGAATTGAGATATGAAATCAATCCTGCAGGTAAAAGGTTGTATCAGAAGATTAAAGCACTTTCAGATTTAAACAACACTGAAGCTTTTTATGATATTCCAAGAGCAGCTGAAGATGTAAAGGATTATATCAGTTTTGATAACGTAAATAATGAATTAAGGATTAACGAATTAAATAAATATATTAGTAAAGAAAGTTCAATGGACTTTTCTCAGAATGTGGTAGCGAGATTCGAGCAAGATAAACACAAGACGTCGGACGAACAAAGAAAAGTTAATTGTTCCTATGACAGCCCAAATAAAGAGACATGGTATGAACATGATATGCAAATGAAAGTTTTATCATGGTTAAACTCTGAATTCTTCACAAATATCAACAACTTTTGCAAAGATTGTAATTTTCCTGACGATCGTGTCAGGTATATTAACACATCTGACAGCTACTTATCGTCATTCTCAAAGGCACACGAAAAAGACATAGGAGATATTTATCATTCAAAAGAGGTTTTACCACATTCTGATAGGATGTCTGTGTTCTGTGTAAATTTCCCCGATGACTTTGAAAACGGAGAGGCCAGTAAACGGTGTACCACCACAACAGACGGCCAGGTCATAGACATCTCTATGAATGAATACAACAAATTGAATTACAAGATACATTCGTGCATTTGGTGCCCATGTTTATTGTTCTTTGTCTTTATATTTTGTATTCCAGCTGTCATATATATGCACAAATGTGACAAATTCTTTCATTTGAATAATTTAGATGAAGCCAGCTTCTATGGAAGAATATCAACTATATTATACATAAGTGGACTTCTTGCGGCACTTCTCTTCTATTGTGCGCTATTTCTATTTCTTAGTATATTCTTATAGTTGTGTATGCAAAATGTTCCTGTGCATATTGTAACTGCTCTTGAAATATTTCTTTAATACATGTATATGTATCTGCTCTTGAACTATTTCTCTAATATATATGTATCAATATTAAGATAAGTGTAATTCATATACTTTGATTATGACTTTTATAATGACTGGATACCTAGTTTTAATACCTACAAATGGCCTAGTTTTAGAAGTATTCCCTTCGTAAACCATTAATACCTTAATTTTTCCGGAATGTTTTTCCATAAGCTCTTTCTCTATTTGCAGATTATTTTATATTGCTTAAATCATGAAATGTAATATTTCACGAATAAGCATTATGTACTTTTAGTTATAAAGACTTTTACAGGTTATATGGACCTAAATAAACGGTTGTTCGCATATATATCTCAAGCCTCTAGGCCCCGGTTGTGTTGAAATCAGCCGTTTTCATACGGCTAAATTACCTTTCAAGAATCTTTAAAACGAATTTATAATACAGCAAACTTCCTTAATCTGAGAAAATAAGCACCCATGTATATAGTCTATATTAAATGTCACTTTTATCTACTGAAATGCGACATTACCAACGTGCCGTTTTAAAAGACATATAAGCCGTGTCATGACAAAACCAACGTAATACATTTGCGACCAGCATGGATCCAGACCAGACTGCGCATCCGCGAAGTCTGATCAGGATCCATGCTGTTCGCTTACAAACCCTTTATCAAGTAGAGAAACTGATAGCGAACAGCATGGATCCTGATCAGACTGCGCGGATGCGCAGGCTGGTCTGGATCCATGCTGGTCGCAAACCCATTATGTTGGTTTTGTCGTGACGCGGCTCATATATGTTTATGAATATTTGCTTACATATTTTCTTTTTCTTGTAAATCAAATGTTTGATTAATGCATAAACACGATATAAAAACAGTATTATGTGCATCAAAAAACAGAGTCGTCAAATTCGTATTAAAGAAGAAAACCTTTCAACTTTATGGACTCAAACGAATGCATCATAATGAGTTTGTTAAATATTATGAAAGAAACAGAAATCATTAGTAGTCTTTAGATAACATACGAGTGTTTTTGACAAAATATTATTTCTCAATAATAAGCGTACTTTGATAAAATAAATAACCAAATAGCGTCGGTTCTTTGCTTCTTACTATGTACATGCATGTCTGTTGTTACACCATTCTGATACATATTACACAAACATTCCGCAAAATATACAGCTCAGTAACATGTTAAATATTGGCAAAAGTGATATCTATCTTTTAATGATATTTTATTAACCTCTTAATTTTGAAATGTTTCATCCTTGTTTTATTTTCCTTTATCATTGCTACAAAAATCACTTTAAGAGTCTACATTGACACGTCTTTAACGTGATTGTGCATGGAAATCTAAATGATTTGTTGTTCAAGGGCGAAAAGACACACTTTGTATTGCATCCACAGTAAAGAGTTGAAAGACTGAAAATTTGCAAAGGAACAAAAGATTGAGCTTTCTGTATCAAGTACAATGTTTGTCAATAAGCAACACCTATCTAGGGACTGAAACACATGACTATTTGTTTTACTGACATATAACCTCCAGTATCTATCACAATTGTAATTCTCAGCAACTCTAGTTTACTAGTAAGAACCTATATACATGTGAAAAGGGGCTCCAGTTGATATAATTGCCCCGAAATACATCAAATATATGATATATATTGAAACATAGGAGACTGAAAAAATCAGTCATAGGTAAGTTAAAATCTTCTATATGAATTAATCAAATGCATTGTGAATTTGTACTACGCAATGCCTTAATGATATAGATGTAAAAGTGTGGATGTAAAAGTCCTTTTGTTGCCCTTCCTGAAGTGAAAATGTGATCTACTTATTGCATTACACAGATAAAATAACCTTTCGTATCTATGACTTATATTTCTCTAAATTTTGACCTTTCAATATCTACAACGTCTTACTTTAGCTTCTAAATTTTATCTTCTAATTTCATTGGTGCTCTTCCATTAATGTTGTAAACAATGTTTTCTCCGCTGATTATTTTTGTCTTATTGGCTGTCGGTTATGGCTGGGTAGGTAAGTATATTTACAGTATGTACATTCAAAAGGTAATATTTTTTATGTAAATAACAAGTTTAATCATTGGCGATGATCTGCAAAAACTCTTTTTTACAAGATGTTGATATTAGAGATTTACTAACTTACATAATGTACATAATAAGTATCAAATAATTTTACTTTTATCACATGCAAAATCTTTCTACATGATATTAGAATGTGCTTGTCCACATGGATGGATTCTACATGGTAAATCATGCTATCATTTTAGCCATGACACCGAGGAATGGATCGGAGCTTTGGTAAGATTGTACTTCTTTTTGCACATAAAAATTATATAACCGTTATTTTCTGATTAAAATATTATGACTCCAGATTCATGCTAATTTTCGTGAGAAAAAAGTAAATATAATCATATGAAAGAAGAATGTAATTTACATATCTATAAAAATTACCCCCCAAAAAAGGTGGGGAAGGGTGCAAAAGTAGCACTGCGTTAGTCAGGCTCTAGGTATGTGGTGAAAGATACTGCCAGGTTGGTTTTCCTGAAATATTTTGGCTTATCTGGAATCATGCAAATTAAAAAAAATCACATATTAGAATGTATTGCTACCTTTTTATATACTTACCTGATAATCCGGTATCAAAATTATGATAAGTATAAACGATTTTAAACCATATCATTTTTAAAAATAGTTTTCAAAAAAGACACTTTTATAGAACCCCATTTATAAGGAAAAGTATCTGCGTTGAATATAATAATGTGACCATTTTATTATAAATACCTATCGCAAACATAATTATAATGTTATCAAGACAATGACATATTTCTTTATTATCAATACAATAGGCTGTATGTCGAGAGCTAGGTGGACAGCTTGTTGAAATAGAGGACGCTGCAGAAGATAACTTCATCATTAGTGAAGCAAGACGTCGTCAAAGTACGGCGTTCAATATATTTTGTTACCGTGTAAAACTAGAGATATATGCGTTTATAGAATACATTTAAAACTAATTTTACTGCTCTAGTAATAATTCAATGTTTATGATATACATGGAAATAAATAACATACGACAAAGCAAATTAGAATGGCATAAAGAGCATTGTAGCTCGTGGCAATTGTCAGTTTTAATTGCACTGATTTGAACATTTTAAATATGGTACACTAAAGAGTAAAAGTCGTCCGTCATATTGACTTCGTAGTCCACTTACATAATGTTTCCTCATAGTCTAAATATACATAAGTCAATTATAGATTCTGAGACAGATGTAATGGTCATTGTTTCAAATATGATCTCTATGACCAGAGGTTCTAGCTGAATTCAGAGACATATTTAAATATAGATCTGTGCTAAGATAAACCTCAGTATATTGATCCTGTCTGCCAATAAATTAATTGTAATTTTGTCAATCATTTTAGATAGCTATTGGATAGGATTGTCCGACATTCAAGAAGAAGGGACTTGGGTATGGATGAATAGTAAAATACCCCTAGTACCGGGGGATTATACGAATTGGGAAAGTGGTCAACCTGACAATGATGATGACGATGAAAATTGTGTAAATTTAGAGGAGAACTTCAACATGTTGTGGAACGACTTAGCATGCCACACCGTTCAAAACTACATATGTGAACGCCTGGCACAGTAAATATATGTTTTGTCATTCAACTAAACTTTTTAACATGCTGAAATTAACAATTTTAAAGATCCTGTAACACAATTTTTTCATGGTTTTATTTTATAAATATGATGCTCAAATTAAGATTTGTCAATATTGTAAGTTCCAATAAGCATTATTTATAAAGATATTAGAAATCTACCCAATTTAACATTTCATGTAAATAAAGGGAAGTACAAATGTAATTGAATTTTATTTTCTATAAATTCTAAGTCAAATTTTCCAATAAGAAATGAATGCATGTAATTTATTGATTAAATATAATGTGCACAAATTTGCAGTGCACATTTTACATATTCCTCGATGTTTGAAAATTGTTGTATTTGCATAATTATATACATATATATTTTTTTTGCAACAGTAACAATATCAATCACAAAACATACAGAATCTTTAAAGACAATATTTTTAAAAGCATCAATAGAATATATGTGCAGGCAAATGTGGCAGTTAACTTATAATTAATTAACTCGCAATCGCTTGTCAAAAGTAATAAAAATCTGAAAAAGGGGTGATCTCTCGGAAGCAATATAAAGAACAATATTATATGAAAATTGCAGACTAGGTTTGATAAATGTACATAGTCAGTCTAACTATACAGCATTATAATAAGGATTTTTATTTTGAAAGTCAGACACATCGACCATTAATTTCATTGTTGTTTCTCTGTTGTTGTTTATCTGAATAATAGTGCTAATAGTAATTCTCTATTCTTTCAGGAACCTCGACATTGTGGGTTGAGACATTATATGTTCCAGAACTAATAAATCTATTGTAAACTATACCATGAAATTCAATATTTTTTTAAAAAACCGTGTCATCTTTCCCCGCCGTCTTCACCTGCCTTCCTCAAAAACTAACAAAAAAACAAAAAAAACAAAAAACAAAAAAACAAAAAAAAATATGTTTTTGTGTGTAATAGTCAAACATTTCAGAACTAGATTCGATCAAACATTGAAGAGCTATGTTCTAGTTGTTTTAAAAGAATAAGGTTCTTAATACATGTGATACATTAAAACACTAGTGTTTTCTAATGTTCGTCAGCCGGAGCAGCCGGAACAAATTTTGTCTAGTCCGACTGTTCAGGCTACTCCGTCTAGCCGGAATGACAAAGAAGATAGAGTTAAACCTGGTCAAAAGACCACTGGTTTATTCCATAATGTAGTTTCAAATAACTTATCACATCGAACTCTGGCTAATCCGGCTGGTCAGAATTACCGAAATAAAGGCTTTTTAAGGTAAAAAATATCCAGAAACAGATTTATAAATATTTTTGTCGTGCAAAGTGTGACCGTGTGTCCGCTGGCATGGATGTGTCTGTCGGAAATACTCTGGTATTTCGCCGACGTTGAGCTGAAAATCGTACTATTAATGTTCATTCCAGCTCATATCTCGCCAATTCAGTCTGGTCCCTGTGAGGCCCAGTCTCAAATGCACAGAACCCCATATGATGGGATGGTAAGGGGGTCTGACCGTGTATCCGCTGGCATAGGTGTGTTCGTCGGGAATACTCTGGTATTTTGCCAACGTCGAGCCGAAAATCGTACTATAAATGGTCATTTCAGCTCATTTTCGATTTTCGGCTCAACGTCGGCAAAATACCAGAGTATTCTATTCTATGTTCTGAGTTATTAAGTGCAATACTGTTATCATGATTAACTACATGAAGAGCTTAGATAAGAACAAAATTTGACCTAAAAAGTGCTTTATAATTTGATAATGAAATAGGTGTTCTAAAGAAAATAAAAGAAACACGCAGATATGAAATTGAATCTCGGAAATTGCTTTATTTGGATATTAGTTGCAGTATTTCAAAGAGGTTTATATTCCTTGTAGATATATCATTTCGTTAATTGCAATTCTTATGTAATTTTGTTGTGATTAATGCTTTCGAGGGATCACTTTGTTTCCAGATTTTGATACGTTTTATTAGATATAATTATATCTATTTCAATCCAAAAGGCTTCAGACGAAAACAACAAACTAATTTTCATTTCTTCGATCTCGTAGTCTCATATTTGGTCAAAAGGACATAATCACACAAAGTTAAGATTAAAATAAAAAAAGGTCGACTGAGTTGTCTTTCTTGGAAAATAACAATAAACCTTAAAAATAGCACTTAGTTACATAATCACGAGAAATATTGATATATTAGATATTATACATATGTAACACAGGTGCTGGTTGCCCTACTGGATTTTTGTCACACGGCACAGACTGTTACCATTTCAGCCATGATATGGAAACCTGGATTGGAGCATTGGTTTGTGTTTTACTTACACTTCCTATAGCTGAACGTTTCATTGTCTTAATGATTACACCAGGGGTGATCGAATTACAATCTCAGAACTGTTTGGTCGAGGCAGTATATGAAATATATATTTATAAAATGCAACAAATGTTACAATACTTGCCAGTAAAACTTAAAACTTATTCACCTTATTTCAAAAATGACAAAAGAATTTTATTGTAAGAAGAATATTAAGATGAATACCGGTAATTCTAAAAACGCTCCGAACCACCCTTGTATATTTATATTCATCAAATTGATTTATCAGTTAATTAAACTTACCATCAGTACATAGATTTAAAGATACAGTTTTATTTTTGAAACACGCTATTGAATAGCATTCTGTAATAATTAATTGCTTAAGCTTATCAACGTTTGTATCTTATAATTTGTAAATTCTTTCTGAAAGTGAGTCAGCACACTAATAATTGATAGATCCCTACTCTGACCTTTAATTTGAATAACAATAGATTTAGCACAAATATTGGCATCTGCCTCTTTTGTTAACAAATGAGCCGCGTCATGACAAAACCAACATAATGGGTTTGCGACCAGCATGGATCCAGACCAGCCTGCGCATCCGCGCAGTCTGATCAGGATCCATGCTGTTCGCTTACAAACCCTATTACAAGTAGAGAAACTGATAGCGAACGGCATTACGTTGGTTTTGTCATGACGCGGCTCAAATATGTTCCGTTGAAATCCTTATTGTATTCACTAATCTGATTATTGTATCATAGTTTGGAGACCTTTCTGTTGAAAATGTGTCAGGGTTAAATCGTATACATATACATGGACAGTGCGTTAACTGGAGTGCGGGTATTAGTTACCCGCACTCCAGAGCATGCCCATTGATTGGCTCTTTTTTGCTGGGGTTTACATAGTGTGACGGCAGAGAAAGGAAAGCGACAGAAATGTCACATTCAGATGTTTGTTCATTGGTTCATTTTTTGCCGGGGTTTCATATTGTGACAACAGGGAACGTGCTTTTATGTTTGACTATGATACAAAATCGAAAGAACACCAAAACACTCGGCAATCTGATAAATACTCGGGGGCTACGCCCCCTCGTACATATCAGATAGCCTCGTGTTTCGGTGCTCTTTCTATTACATAGAATTAGGCAGGTCAGGGATCTATGCATTGTGATTAGTGTATCTTTCAAATTAACTATCTGGTATCAAATCATCTCAAGCTGCGAATAAATATTTTATCAGATTTCTGGTGAAATAAGTATGGTAAATATGTAATGTCTGTTAATTTAATTTGTTCTGTATATTTGATGCAGCAAATGTGTCGGGAATTAGACAGTTATTTAGTAGAAATAAACGATCCTGCGGAGAATGAATTTATAAAAACAATGGCTAAACAGAGGAACAGTAAGATTTTCATTTTCTCTTGATAAATGGAATGACCATAATTATGTTTCATAAAAATAAGTTTATTATATGTATAACAATATTTACAAAAAATCTGAAACTGAATTTCATTTTTTCCATTTCGATAGAATTATTTGAAATAACAATAATAACTTAATCAAAAAGCAACATTTTGTGTTTATACATGAGTAATGTACAACAAAATCAATTTGTTCGACATCTCTGATAAACTGTATATTTTGTTTTGTTCGGACGAGAGTACACAGTATTTCGTTTTTCTAATGTTTATAGTTTCTGTTTATACAGCTATGTATTGGTTGGCACTGTCTGATGTTCGTGAAGAGGGTACATGGATCTGGATGGACAGTCATACACCTTTGGTAGCTAAGAACTTTTCCGACTGGAACTCAGGAGAACCTGATAACCTGCATAAAAATGAAAATTGCGCTGCAATGTACCGTGTAGGTCATCACGGATCATGGTCATGGAGTGACATGGCGTGTAGTACAAACCTTCATTACATCTGTGAATTAAAGGCAGGGTAAGATGACAGATCATTTTCAGTATAGTTATTGTTCTTCGATGTTTGAAGACTTGAAACAAAGTCATTTGACGTTTGACTATTACTAGAAACGCAGTTTGCAGACGTTTGAAAGCTAGGACCCAACGCATACGATCCAATGTTTGATCATAAGAAACTTAGTTTGTTAGTGTTTGACCTCTTCTTGGTGTCCAAGGCCAAGTGGTTAAGCCCGTTGACTTCAAACCTCTTGCCCCTCGTGGTTTAGAATTCCGACAGGATCTTTAAATTTCTGTGGCGGTTATCCAGCTTACTTACGAATCGTCGATGGTTCTACTCAGGTGCCCGTTCGTGCTCAAAATAATGCAGCAGTCACTATACTGTGTTGGTGCGAAGTAAAACCCAACCAAAAAAATAAATAAATAACGTTTAACAACTCAAAACCTAGCTCTTCGGTTTTGACTTCAACAAACCATTCGACGTTCGACATCTAGAAACCAAATTCTCCCGTATTTGTCCACTAAAATATAATTATTAAATGTTTGAATAAAGACAAATATTCCATGATAACCGCCATATGAAGACATTTGCGGATGTTTCTAACTCCACAAGTTTACCATTTTATATTAAATATTGAATTCTATTAAAGCCGGTGCCAGGGAGCGTGTACAGCTGCTTGCACTATACCAAACCGCCCTTGATCAGTCTCAATAAAACCGAGCCTGAACATTTTCAATTTTGCCGTTTTGGACGTTCTCTCGGGATTCTTATATCATGTATATGTTTTGTTTTGTTTTCTTCAATAGTTTTAAGGATATCTTTGTTCACTTTTTATTCCAGAAATACAGAGTTAGTGGGATGATATTTGGGTTTCTTGTATTCTATACATGTTTATCTTATTTGTAAAATAAATGTAAGATAATTGAAAGCATTGTGCGTTATTTCTTGATTGTAAATGAGACACGCTCTTCTCACCTCTTTTGCATCCGATACAATCATATATCTTATTTAAAGTATTCCTCATGTATGCCTTGTATATGCACTAAAAATAAAAGTTGTATTCTGTTTTTGTATTGTTTTTTTCAATATTAAAGATTTTAAAAATCCAAAAAATTAAACAACAAATGTCATGCAGTGAGTTCCATATTTAAGATTTGCATAAAACATAAATGATACATACCATCATATTTTATTTCAGTCTCATCAATGTACCAAATGTGCACAGTATCACATGTCAAACATAAATCAAACAAACAAAGTAAAGTACATAGCCGTTTTAATAGAATTATAAATATAACATTTAATATAGAATATAATATATAATATGGTTTAAGACTTATACATATGGATAAAACCCTAAAACATAAACATTTTCATTACATTCTTAAAACAAACCTTCTATCAGCATTGAATGGTGTCACATCTGCGGATGTTTCTTAATTAAAAATTTAACCATTTCATGATAAATGTCTGCTTAAACCGGTGCTAGCGGGTGTGAACTGTAACTTAACTTTGCCTGTACCTTCCATGAACAGGCTCAACATTTTCATTTTTTTACGTTTTGGGCGTTCCTTAGGGTCTCCGTTCTTCTCTTTTTTAACAGATTTTGGTTAAGACTGCTTACTTTTGGCTGCTTTTGAAAATAATTATTAAATGCGCATAAAATTATAGGCAATAAAGACTGATTGATTATCGTGAAAATATTTTGATTTTTTAGCGCTTTAATGTTGAAATATAATGAGATTTTGTCCAACACAGATAAATTTCTATCCTCCAATCTCAAAAGTGTTGAACAAAGTCCACCCAGGTTCGTTTATTTGTTTCTCGGGCGAACGAAATTTCTCCCTGACAACTGATCCTTGACATTAGGACTTAAGGTATTTTGTCTTTCACTGTTGATTTAGAAATCATATGACATCAGATGTCGGTCTTACTCTTTGAATAAAAGTGATTATATGCTTGGCACAGCCTAAAATTGTATCACTATCTATCCATCTATATATCTATCTACTAAGAAAATGTTGATACATGGTGCTCTTTACAATAGGTTTATTAGTTCTAAAAGACATTATATTTCAACCCACAATGTCAAGATCTCTGAAAATATAGAGAACACAATAATTATACTGAAAGCAATAGAAACACCCCTTGTTTAAACAGATTGGAACACATAATCATAGGAATGAAAACATTGTGAATGGATGAAATATACATATTTGATAAGTTTATTATTAACTTGAATTAAAAAATTCAAAATAATGCGAAACAAATGTTTGCATAATGTTAAATTAAATGTATTTCCATTTCATCCAACTTTCATCTTTATTCATTGAATATTGAATAAAATATGACAGCATGAACGATGTTTTATCATATACATGTATACAAACACCTAATACTTTATTTAATTTGGTATCTAAGTCGTTAGTTCATTCACCATGCAGTGAGTTTATAACTTTCAATCTTTAACTTGTAATTTTAATTGAATTTTGTATGATTTAAATTCAGCCAGCAATAAACAGGCATGTAGATCACATATAATGGTCATGTAATCATCGGCGTTATCGTCATTCTTTTGAATTTTGATACTAAATGGGAGACAAATAATACCAATATATGTAAAAGTTTAACAACACATGCATTTAAAGGTTAAGTATAATAGCAAAAGGTATTTACTGAGCAAGGCGTTCACAAATGTAGTTTTGAAATATGTGACATGACAAGTCGTTCCACAACGTCCCGAAATCTTCCTCTAAATTCACACAATTTTCATTTCCTTTGTGATTGTCGGGTTGACCTCTTGCCCAATTCTTATAATCCCCTGGCACTAGGGGTATCTTACTGCTCATCCATACCCAAGTCCCTTCTACCTGAATATCTGACAATCCAATCCAATAGCTTTCTAAAAAATGGCAATTTTAAAAATAAATTTTACTGACAGATGGTGATCGATAAAAAGATACATGTAATTGTAATAGATGTATAAAATGTCTTATCATGGCACAGTCTTTTTATCTATGCCAATGTAAATAAATGGTCTTGAAATATTCATACTGGTTTATATTAGGTAATAATCACGATATCATTTTATTCCATAAGATGTCTGAGTTAAGACTACGACAATTCGGCGACATTGTAAACTATTACTTATGTTGTGTAAAAATTGTAACATTTTAATATTTCCAAAAAGACACAATTAAAATTAAAAATTTCCTTAAGCTAAAATGTTATAAGTCCAATCATTTCTGTATGTATTGTGTTTATACATGCATTTAATTCATTGGATTTGAATAAAATTTAATATTGAACGAGTAAAATATACGAGAATATGTAATAAGTAAAATTATATTCTAGACTAAAATTCCCACTTAAATTTTCAAATAAATTTTGATAATTATTTTTATTGTGATTCCATTGCAAATGAAATTTCATAATATGTCAAATGCAATCTAATTAAATGAATGTTTGAAAATTATTTAGCGGATTCATGATTTGCACGTACAAATAAATAATGTAAAATCAATTTTGTTTGGCAATAATGACCTAAGACATTTAAATATTCAATGACCTTTTGTCGGTAATTGTCGGACTCCGAAGTATATCATACGGATTTTAAAGTATGGCATAACAGTAAAAATGGTTGTAAGTGAAGGTGGTAGGCCGAATCTTAATGGAACATTATTTTGTATGTTTTTTATGTTGTTTCTTTATGGATTATATTTTGCGAAACTTGACTACTACTAAGTTTTTGTGCATGACAATCACTCATTGTACAACTGTACAAATTGAAAATTGTATTGAAATTTTATGACTTTAGTTCTGGATAGTAATAATATACAATGCCGTACTGTGATGACGTCTTGCTTCATGAATGATGAAGGTATCTTCATCAGCATCCTCTATTTCAACAAGCTGTCCACCTAGCTCTCGACATACAGCCTATTGTATAATGGTTATATTATAGTATGTTAATCATGCTTCTCTTAGTAAAGTGATGACTCGGGTAGTAGAACAATGCAGATAGACAGATCAAATTCTTTCTAAGAATCTTAAGAAATAACTTGGTCCCCACAGCTTTATTCAGTTGATCAAAAAGTCTGAAATTGTGTTTGTGACAATTCATAATCAAAAGTATATACATTTATTTCACACCTTAAAATATAATCAATGAGTGTAAATAGACATCAGTATCTGATCAAGTCTTGTCAATTTAAACTCGGTCAAAAATGTCCATTAAAATGATTATAATACTCAATTTAGCTTCGCTTTTAGCGAATCCAAAACTTCATATCTAATTATTATTGTACTTGAGATAGCAATGTTCTATAAAATGTCAGATAAAATTGTGGTGTAAAATGAAGAGGTAATTTTACCTTGTTGATAACTAAACTGTCTCTACCGGACTGGTACACGACTGCAAAACCTATATATTTCATCTGGCTAGCGCCGTTTTAAGGACGTCGTCTTGTCCAATATAATTCAGTTATGTACTCACCAATGCCCAATAAACTAAAAGTTTAACTTAAATTCATCAACAAGATAGTGATAACAACTAAAGAAAGAAGCACACTGTTCTTACCAAAGCTCCGATCCATTCCTCGGTGTCATGGCTAAAATGATAGCATGATTTACCATGTAGAATCCATCCATGGGGACAAGCACATTCTAATATCATGTAGAAAGATTTTGTGTTGTGAACACGATAGCCAATAACATGCATTATGTAAGCAAATGAGTTTTGAAATGAAAACTGACCAATACTCTAAAAATAGGTCAAGAGTTACTCAATGTTTATCAAATCATAGTCAATGTTTAAAATTATCCTGTACAGTTACGAATACAATGTATTTATTAAATTCATTGCGTTAATATTTAAGAAATCTTTACCTACAAATGTATAACTGGCAGCTAATATCAAAAGCAGAAGCAGCGAGGAAAACATGTTAGTAACATTAATGTTAGGACACCAGTAAGCGATCAAGATAAAATTGGAAAGCTTAACTAGTACGATGTACATGTTTTAAGGTCAATAGATAGAGAATTAGAAAACTAACATATGGCAAAAACAGTAAAATGGTACCAGTATAATGTAATAATTGCAACACTCTCTTTAGCAATTAATTTTATAAAAAATAATTTAAAAATCTACATTTTAAAAAGTGTATTCAATCAGGTTGGAATATTTTAAATAACTTTTAGTTTATCAAACGGATTTTTCATGTTTATAACAAAAGTCATACGAAATGCACAATGTAATTTGTGCTGATGCTAACAGTAATGTGTTTGAAATATCTGATATAAGTTTTGTTGCCTTTCTTGCGGATTAGACAAGGTATATTCGATCACTAAAAAACTAATTATTTTATGCCTGACTGCTATTCACCTTAGTATTAAATGTCTGACCACTAGAAACCTAGTTCTTAAATGTTTGACCCCTAGAAACATAGTTTTAAAATGAAGACTATGAAGAAGAAAATCCTAGTTTTTTATGTTTGACTACTAGGAAGTTAATTTTTTAAAGTTTGACTGCTAGAAAGTTAATTCTTTAAAGTTTGACTGCTAGAAAGTTGATTCTTTAAAGTTTGACGGCTAGAAACGGTCCTCGTCAGCGATATACCACTAGGAACGTGGTACTTTAGTGTTGTACGACTAGAAAACCATGTTCGAAAAGTTGGCCAGACAGCCGGAATAGCCGGAACAAATGTTGTCAAGTCCGACTGTTCAGGCTACTCCGGCTAGCCGGAATCCGGTTCTGGCTGAATCGGCTAGACAAAGAAGATACAGTTAAACATATGCAAAAGACCATTGGTTTATTCCATAATGTAGTTTCAAATTACTTTTCACCTAGAACACTGGCCATTCCGGCTGGCCAGAATAACCGAAAAAAAGGCTATTTAAGAATAAAAAAGAAACAGATTTATGAATATTTTTGTCGTGCATAGTGTGACCGTGTGTCCACTGGTATAGGTGTGTCTGTCGGGAATACGAGGGCTGTTAGAAAAGTATCCGGAAAGGTTTCATTACTTTTTTTATTTACAAACATATCTAGATAAAGTATTCCACACTGTTACTTTGGAGAATTATTTCATGATCCGGTTGGAAAAAAAAAACATTTGCATTAATGCACATTCTACAGTATTTATGGTAACGTAGGGTTACGTTGAGTTATACACTGGTATTTTGCCGAAGTTGAGCCGAAATTCGTACTTTAAATGGTCATTAGCTCATATCTCAATTGCGGAAAACCCCTTTGGTGGAATGCTTAGGGAGTCTGACCGTGTGTCCGCTGGCATAAGCTGTGTCCTTCGGCTTAAGCTTATCAACGTTTGTATCTTATAATTTGTAAATTCTTTCTGAAAGTGAGTCAGCACACTAATAATTGATAGATCCCTACTCTGACCTTTAATTTGAATAACAATAGATTTAGCACAAATATTGGCATCTGCCTCTTTTGTTAACAAATGAGCCGCGTCATGACAAAACCAACATAATGGGTTTGCGACCAGCATGGATCCAGACCAGCCTGCGCATCCGCGCAGTCTGATCAGGATCCATGCTGTTCGCTTACAAACCCTATTACAAGTAGAGAAACTGATAGCGAACGGCATTACGTTGGTTTTTGTCATGACGCGGCTCAAATATGTTCCGTTGAAAATCCGTTATTGTATTCACTAATCTGATTATTGTATCATAGTTTGGAGACCTTTCTGTTGAAAATGTGTCAGGGTTAAATCGTATACATATACATGGACAGTGCGTTAACTGGAGTGCGGGTATTAGTTACCCGCACTCCAGAAGCAGCCCATTTGATTGGCTCTTTTTTGCTGGGTTTACATAGTGTGACGGCAGAGAAAGGAAAGCACAGAAAATGTCACATTCAGATGTTTGTTCATTGGTTCATTTTTTGCCGGGTTTCATATTGTGACAACAGGGAACGTGCTTTTATGTTTGACTATGATACAAAATCGAAAGAACACCAAAAACTCTCGGCAATCTGATAAATACTCGGGGCTACGCCCCCTCGTACATATCAGATAGGCCTCGTGTTTCGGTGCTCTTTCTATTACATAGAATTAGGCAGGTCAGGGATTATGCATTGTGATTAGTGTATCTTTCAAATTAACTATCTGGTATCAAATCATCTCAAAGCTGCGAATAAATATTTTATCAGATTTCTGGTGAAATAAGTATGGTAAATATGTTAATGTCTGTTAATTTAATTTGTTCTGTATATTTGATGCAGCAAATGTGTCGGGAATTAGACAGTTTATTTTAGTAGAAATAAACGATCCTGCGGAGAATGAATTTATAAAAACAAGGCTAAACAGAGGAACAGTAAGATTTTCATTTTCTCTTGATAAATGGAATGACCATAAATTATGTTTCATAAAAATAAGTTTATTATATGTATAACAATATTTACAAAAAATCTGAAACTGAATTTCATTTTTCCATTTCGATAGAATTATTTGAAATAACAATAATAACTTAATCAAAAAGCAACATTTTGTGTTTATACATGAGTAATGTAACAACAAAAATCAATTTGTTCGACATCTCTGATAAACGTATATTTTGTTTTGTTCGGACGAGAGTTACACAGTATTTCGTTTTTCTAATGTTTTATAGTTTCTGTTTATACAGCTATGTATTGGTTGGCACTGTTGATGTTCGTGAAGAGGGTACATGGATCTGGATGGACAGTCATACACCTTTGGTAGCTAAGAACTTTTCCGACTGGAACTCAGGAGAACCTGATAACCTGCATAAAATGAAAATTGCGCTGCAATGTACCGTGTAGGTCATCACGGATCATGGTCATGGAGTGACATGGCGTGTAGTACAAACCTTCATTACATCTGTGAATTAAAGGCAGGGTAAGATGACAGATCATTTTCAGTATAGTTATTGTTCTTCGATGTTTGAAGACTTGAAACAAAGTCATTTGACGTTTGACTATTACTAGAAAACGCAGTTTGCAGACGTTTGAAAGCTAGGACCCAACGCATACGATCCAATGTTTGATCATAAGAAACTTAGTTTGTTAGTGTTTGACCTCTTCTTGGTGTCCAAGGCCAAGTGGTTAAGCCCGTTGACTTCAAACCTCTTGCCCCTCGTGGTTTAGAATTCCGACAGGATCTTTTAATTTCTGTGGCGGTTATCCAGCTTACTTACGAATCGTCGATGGTTCTACTCAGGTGCCCGTTCGTGCTCAAAATAATGCAGCAGTCACTATACCTGTGTTGGTGCGAAGTAAAACCCAACCAAAAAAATAAATAAATAACGTTTAACAACTCAAAACCTAGCTCTTCGGTTTTGACTTCAACAAACCATTCGACGTTCGACATCTAGAAACCAAATTCTCCCGTATTTGTCCACTAAAATATAATTATTAAATGTTTGAATAAAGACAAATATTCCATGATAACCGCCATATGAAGACATTTGGCGGATGTTTCTAACTCCACAGTTTACCATTTATATATTAAATATTTGAATTCTATTAAAGCCGGTGCCAGGGAGCGTGTACAGCTGCTTGCACTATACCAAACCGCCCTTGATCAGTCTCAATAAAACCGAGCCTGAACATTTTTCAATTTTGCCGTTTGGACGTTCTCTCGGGATTCTTATATCATGTATATGTTTTGTTTTGTTTTTCTTCTCAATAGTTTTTAAGGATATCTTTGTTCACTTTTTATTCCAGAAATACAGAGTTAGTGGGATGATATTTGGGTTTCTTGTATTCTATAAATGTTTATCTTATTTGTAAAAATAAATGTAAGATAATTGAAAGCATTGTGCGTTATTTCTTGATTGTAAATGAGACACGCTCTTCTCACCTCTTTTGCATCCGATACAATCATATATCTCTATTTAAAGTATTCCTCATGTATGCCTTGTATATTCACTAAAATAAAAGTTGTATTCTGTTTTTTGTATTGTTTTTTTCAAATATTAAAGATTTTTTAAAAATCCAAAAAATTAAACAACAAATGTCATGCAGTGAGTTTCCATATTAAGATTTGCATAAAACATAAATGATACATACCATCATATTTTATTTCAGTCTCATCAATGTACCAAATGTGCACAGTATCACATGTCAATACATTAAATCAAACAAACAATAGTAAAGTACATAGCCGTTTTAAATAGAATTATAAATATAACATATTAAGATATAGAATATAATATATATATGGTTTAAGACATTATCTACATTTGGTATAATAACCTAAGAGACATTAAATCATTTTGCATAACATTCTTATAAAACAGAACCTTCTTATCAGCATTGTAATGGTGTCACATCTGGCGGATGTTTCTTAATTAAAAATGTTAACTCATTCATGAATAAATGTTCTGCTTAAACCGGTTGCTTAGGCGGGTGTGAACTGTAACTTTTATCTTTGCCTGTTACCTTTCCATGAACAGGCTCAATCATTTTCATTTTTTAGTTTTGGGCGTTACTTAGGGTCCCGTTTGCTCTTTTTTAACAGATTTTGTTAGACTGCTTACTTTTGGCTGCTTTTGAAAGTCCACGCAGGTTTCGTTTATTTGTTTCTTCGGCACGAAATTTTCTCCTTGACTAACTGATTCCTTGACCAACTGATCCTTGACATTAGGACTTAAGGTATTTGTGTCTTTCACTGTCTGATTTTAGAATCATGTATATGTACATCGAGTATTTCGGTCTACCTGTTGAATATAAAGTGATTATATTTGTTTGGACACTATTATATATTTGTATCATTCTAATTCTATCCATACTGTATTATCTCTATCTAGCTATATGAAGAATGTATAGCTAATGTGCTGCTTTACTAATAGGTTTATTATGTTCTATAAACATTATATTTCACCCACAGTTATGTCAAGATCTCTGAAAATAATAGAGAACACAATAATTATATCTGAATAGCTAATGAAACATCCCGTTGTTTAACCAGATTGGAACATATTATAATCATAGGAA